GGCAGTATAAAGGCGAGAGTTTTGCCTGATCCGGTTTTGGCTATGCCAACCAGGTTGTTGCCCGACAAAACAATTGGCCATGCTTGGGCTTGAATCGGTGTGGGCTCTATGTACCGCTGACGTCGTATCTCATTCATGCAATAGTCTGGAAAGCATGTTTCGTCAAAGCTTCGAATGGGATTGGGCGCCATGCCACGCACTGTGATCTGATGTTGGCTGCGATAGGCAGCCACTTCCTCTGGCGAACGATTACGAGTCTTGGGATGCTCCTGGTAAAAGTTCTTCTGAAACGGCTGCAGACGCATCTCAGACCAGTTGACAATGTTCAGGCCTAGGCCAAAAAAGTTTATTATGTGAAATATATAAAGATAAATCAAATCTCTTACCTCCGAAATCATCATTTCCAGAACCAGCACCACGATTCATGCCGCCACTGCGACGTGAACGGTTATCAACTCGGCCAGAACGTACTGGAATAATATATTTTAAGTAATTTAAATTTATTAAGCTTTTATATCTTTAACACATACCGCCTCCATGACCACCAAAACCAGATCGTCCTGTAATATTTGTTTAACATATTTTAGGTTTTTGTTTTTTATTTATTATTGAGATATTACACATACCTCCTCCACCGCCGCCACTTCCTCCAAAACCGCTGTGCCGAGGTGGCGCCATATGTAGCTTATTTTATTTTCAATACGAAACCGGTAAAGAGAAACCCAATTATAAATCTTGGGCCTCTTCTACTTTTGTTGTGTTTCGTCGCTTTGAGTTGTTTAACTTTAACTACTTTATATAAATATATCATAAGACAAATACTTATACTTAAAAAATATGTATTTGTGCTATTTTATTATAATTTTGCAAAATTACATGTCCTTTGTTGTATTGTTTTTTATAAGCTTTCTTCTTCTTATTCGATATTTTCAGCTATCACTGTCATCATAATTTGACGATCTGGTAGCGCTTATAATGTTTCTTATTGTTTGTCCTTCTCCTATTTACGATACTATCAGCTGCCAGTGTTATGATAATTTGACGATCTGGTAGGGCTTAGCAAAAGAAAGCAAAGAGCTGGCAGCACCGGCGTTTGTTTTGGCAACTTGTAGCCCGCGCAATTTGAAAAAAGTATATATTTTGATACTTACAAGTTTTGTAGCAGTATGCGTACTTTTTTTTGTCATCGATTAGTGTCCATTTGAAAATCAACAAATTACAGAAAAATCCCTCGGCTGATTTAAACAAAAATGTCAAATTTTTCAGTGGCCATTTCGTAAATTGGAAAATCTAAATAATTCATTTATTTGAATCTGCAGACAAACGTTGCAATTTGCAAATGACTCCAATCGCACTAGGGCGGATGCTGTACGGAGGCACACGCTTCAGTCGCAAACTCGTGAATACCTCACGGGCGTTAACTTCCGGCCTATGGCAGACGATGATTAACAGCGTCATGCTGCACACGCAGGCAGCAATTGGGTGCACAGAGAAGCGAATGGTCTGCTCACGTTGTAATCTCCACTCCAATGAGTTGGAGCCACCACATCTGGTGCATTTGATCCATCGGCGCTACTCCACCTGCGAGAAAACATCGACGCAGATATTATCGAAATTGTTTCCTCAGACATCCATGGAGCTGGATGATGAGGCCAGCCGGGACAGACGTAAGCGTGAGGAAGAGGAAGAGCTTAGAGAAATGGAGCGAGCCTGGAAGCGTATGAAAATAGGGTTTGGGGTCTTTGGTATAGGAGGTGTGATATTTTCGTTTTGGGCAATTTACTTCTTTGGCAAGCCGTCGCTTGATGAACAAGGAAACGAATTGGCGGATGAGTTCAGTTCATTGCCATTGATTCAGCAATACATGGCGCGTACTTTTAAGTCGTTGAATCATTTTCAGAGGTTCATCCAGGAGCCCTCAAGTCAAAAATTATTGCCTGATCCACTGCAGGCGCCGTATATTCAGCCACCCTACACTTTGGTACTTGAGGTCAAGGACTTGCTGATCCATCCTGATTGGACCTATCAAACGGGATGGCGTTTTAAAAAACGTCCAGGCGTCGATGTTTTCTTGAGAGAGTGCTCCAAGTATTTCGAGATCGTTGTCTATACGGCCGAACAGGGAATGACTGTTTTTCCACTGCTCGACGCTCTCGATCCCAGCGGATATATCATGTACCGGCTTGTCCGCGATTCGACCCACTTTGTGGGGGGTCACCATGTGAAGAATCTTGACAATCTAAACCGTGATCTGAAGCGTGTGGTTGTCGTCGATTGGGACAAAAACTCGACCAAAATGCATCCGGCCAATACATTCTCGATACCCCGTTGGTCCGGCAACGACGATGACACCACTTTGTTTGATCTAATCTCTTTCCTGAGCGTACTCGGAAGCAGCGACGTGGACGATGTACGTGAGGTGCTTCAATATTATAATCAGTTTGAGGAGCCCATTGTCCAATTTCGTGAGAACCAGCGGAAGCTGTCCGAACAGATGCAGGCGGATGAGTTCGAGAAGTTGAGTAAGCCAAAGCCGATGGTCAAGAACTGGTCGCGCGGCTTCATGAAGCCCTAAAGGTACATCGTACATCTCGTACATCGTAGCAGCCTTTTAGGTTTAGACATTTACGTTCTCCCTTGCATTGTTGTGGTTTAACAAATTATTCTCAAAATAATGTGTATCATATTTATTTACTCTTAAATCGAAGAACTATTAATTTTCTGTGACTTTTGCTGACTTGATTGAATTTATTCGGAAATCCGATAAGAATTTAGCGCAACATCCAGCTCCGCCAGCTGCCCGTTGATCTCCTGATGTAGACTCTGCAGATCCGCCAGCTGCTCTATCTGCCTCACCCGGCTGGCCCCACTCTCCAGCATGCTGGCATGCAAAATACTTCGCGCCACATCGAACGTCAGTTGCTCCCGCTTCAGATTCCGCCTGACCTCCAATTGCAGTTTCTTAATGTTGAGCATTTGGCGTCGTCGCTTCAGGCTATCGAATTGACGTTTCAGGGTGTACAGGATGAGTGGCAGCCAAATTGTTAGCATTACAAGAAAGTAAAGGGGTTCCATCTGAACTTGTTCTGTAATCATCCATTCATCGAGTTCTTGATGCATTCAAACATCATTCGTAATGTAACATATTTGAGGTAAAAGTGACACAAAACTCAGTGAGAGAGCTTGAATGATGTATGTATGATGTTTGCGGGATATGATACGTATGATGATAGATTATGAGTTATATGATGTATGTTCATATAATGTATAGAAATCATGTAGAAATATATGATGTATGTGTGAGGTTTTCAGGAAGTAGATATGATCAATTGTTAATACAGATATGATGAACATATATGAGAATTGTGTATATATTTGATTTCTAATGTATATATGATGTATGTCGGTGATGCATACATATGATGTATATTAGGTATGTATGTATATGATGTTCTCATGATTCATTATATGATATATATAACTTGCTGCCATACAGGTCTTGCTTTTGCTGATTTCATATTGGTCAACCTTCCATAATAAGAATAAATGTGTATCAAAAACACAGAAATACTTAAAGTTTTTAATTAAAAAAGTTTGCCCATTCAGCATTATGCCAATACAAGGAATAACAAGTGAAAATGTTGCAGTGCAGCTTAACTGACTGCATAATACTCGCTTACATTACAAATAAGCAAATATAAACTTTTTAAATTTTGAATGAAGGCTTCGTTGAAACCGATTTGCCAGCTCTATATAATGACGTATCTATGTATATATCCGAGCAACTATAGTCCAAAGATAAAACATATTGTGATTCGCCATTTGACATGTTTAATATTAACATTAACATAAACAATAACATTTTATTGAAAGGCCTTTACGGATCATGCTTTTCAAATTTTAACTCTTTAGCTTTAACAGCGATAAACAAAAGGACAATAAGCAAGTTTCAGTTTAACATCAGCCCTATATACTCTTTTTACGTTGCGAACGAGTAAGAAACCTCAAAGTTGGCCTCAAGGATAATGTGAAATCAGCCAAGGTTGCAAATATGATTTCTCTGCCCTTTTGTTAAGTAAAGTATCAAGATGTTTAAATGAAATATATATAAATAAATAAATATGTATGTGTATAATATGCAAAAGGAATAACAACTCTACTCACACACACACACATGCAGCACGCACACGTGGGTCTCACGCTTCGCCCACGCAAACTCAGCAACATGTTGCCGGCTACAATTGTGCAGCGTATGCCGTGTGTGTGTGTGTGTGTGTATGCGTAGTGAGTGAAACACGTGCTAAAACAAACCGACGACAATTTCAACAATCAACAATTCACAATATTCCACAACATCTGTCAATTGGCATGCGCCACATAGTCGAGTAGGAGAAAGTAGTCGGCCGAGTCCTTCGGCAACATTCACTATAAGAGCCATTTCAATGTTTTGGCTAATGAGATGCTGTGGCTAATAGGGTTACGACCTGATGCGCTAGTGAAGGTACGTGCGGACAGCAAGACTTAGCTTGACTATAATCTTTAGATAGATTTCGAGTCAGTTTAGTTCCTAGTTTATTATTATAGTTAGTCCCAGTCAAGGGATGCTGTTTGCTGCATGCCACAACACAATGCAAATGACAGCAACAACAACTAGATTTAACAATTCTAGCGCCTGCGCCACTCTGCCTGAGCAAGCAGAGAGAGCAAGAGGGAGAGAGCGAGAGAGAGAGAGTTGACTTGCTCTGCTCACTTTCACTATGTGCCAGCATCAAGGAAATTGGCGACTTTTGGCGAATCTGGCACATTTGCTGCACCAAACTGACATTTCGGAGCTTTTTCATCAGCTTGTCTGAATAGGTGCTGAAAAGTGTGTTTTCAAATTGCTGGCTCTTCCGTTTACACATATACACAGACACACACATATACATATGTGTCTATTAGTGTTTTTTTTTTGCAAAAAGCTTTTGGCATTGCCGCAAAGTAAATGTTATTCAGTTTGCATGGAACGTACGCTGCGTTCGTAGCCTTTCGGTTCGCAACTCGAAGATGAATGCCATTAGGCGCTGCTGAGTGTACATGTTACATAGTAAACGAGTGTGAGTGTGTGTGCGTGTGTGTGTGTGTCTGTGAGTGTTTCACAAAAAAAATAGCAGAATATATAGTAAATAAGTACATCAAATTTGATTAGCCCAAGTTGAAGTTTGTGCTTTAATTAATCCATTTGATTGTTTTTTAAGTTTTCTCGACACTACTCTGCATTTCGCTTGGCTTCTCGTGAAAATTTATAATCAAATTATGCTCGCTCTTCAATGATTTCTAATCAATAGTGCACAATATGGTGACAAGTTGTTTTTGCTCGCTCTCGAAGTGAACTAAAAATCCAAAATCACAATTTTCTTGAACTGCGCTCAATAAGCCAAAAAATAGGCTGCCTAAAATTGTACTCTAAGCACTTGAAATAAACAAATAATTTAATATACATAAATATACATACATGTGTACATACATATATACACACATATGTTTTTGTGCTGAAAAAAAAAAAACTACGAAAGCTTTAAAATTCTTCAGCTTTTGCTGGCAAACAAATTGCATTCAAGTCAAATGCAGACAAATTTAAAGTTTTATAGTGTTGCTTATATTATGATAATCCCAAACTCATTCAAGTGCCCACAAATTGTCAAATACGCGTGATAAGTTTTACTACAGCCACACCCTAAGCATATTCGCTTAACCAGGCGCAATGTGCGCGCAGAGCAAACGCACAAAAGTAAAGCAAATATCATAAAAAAGCCAAGATGAATGAGCAGCCATATAACAGTTATTTATTAGTTATAATAAAATCAAAATAAACTGCAAATGTATACACAAATAAACTATACAGTGCATATAACTATTCTAGAATTTGAAATTGTAAATGAAATTATTGAAGAAATTGCAATGAAATATATACAATTTACGATAATGCATTATTTTTAATTTTATTTAAAAGTCAAGTGTAAATATATAAATTGAAAAATTAACAATTCAGTTGGAGCTACTTTAATTTATTGTTTGTTTATTGCTAACTGCTTAAGAAGAAGCCAAAAGATAATTTATAGTTGAGAAATAAAAATAAAAATATATGTATTATTTACATTTTTATTCATTAAAAATACAAATAAAAATAAATAAAAATATAACATAATTTAATAAAAATAAAATATAAAAAGAATTAGAAAATAGAAAGAAAAAAAATGGGAATCATATAAAAAATAATATTTATTTAATTAAAAAAAAAAAAAATAATAAAAATTTTAAATATGTAATATAAATAATAATATATTTGTAATTAAATAAAAATTAAAATTAAAAATATATGTATTATTTAAATTGTAAATTGCATTAAAAATTAAAATTAAAATAATTAAAAATATAAGAAAATTTAACAAAAATAAAATATATAATAAAAATATAAAAAAGATAAAAATAAAAAATAGTAATATATTTTTAATTAAAAAATATAAAAAAGATAAAAATAAAATATAGTAATATATTTTTATTAAATGGTAACTCATCTTTAATTTTTAAAAATAAAATAAATAAAAAATTATTATAATTTCCAGAACTTTAATAGCTTCTGAAATATACCTATTCAAAATAGTCTCTATGTTTCTACTTCTCTATAACCTACGCCAGTGTCCATAGAAGCAATTTATAAATTCATTAACAACAATGGCAACGGAAGCCTTTCTGGACATGGTGAACGATCGGGCCAAGTTAACGAAACGCCCAATTAGACCAAAGATACTCAAGCTAACGGATGTAACCACGCCGCATCGCAGTCGCAAGAAAATCAAAATCAAGGTAGGAATTGACAACTCCTTGGCTACCTGTATAAGCAATCATTTCTCACTAATTTATATCTCTTCAACTGCCCAGTCAAAGGATCGCTCGGCGGCTGTGCGTGATCGCATCTACGATGATCCGGCCTACACCGAGGACATCAGCCACTTGGCCAATCCGCTGCGCCGCAGCAGCATTTCGGGCAAGTCCTCGGGCGACTACAAACTCTGCGCGGAGGCTGCAGCGCAGCAGGTGGCCAGCAGCAGCTCGCTGGGCAAACGCAGCCAGTTGACCAAGGACTTTCTAAAGTATGCGATGAATGCGCCGCTCAAGGCCGGCAACAGCAGCAGCGGCAACGTCGGCTTGGAGTACGAGTTCGACTCGAGCAGCTCGGACAACGAGCAGGCAGCGAGCAGGGCCTTCAAGGAGGGCAGCCTGCCGCGCCGTGTGCTCAGCCTGGAGCGCAGCCTGGCCGATAAGAACGATAAGAAGGCCGCCAGCCAAAAGCGCGTCTCGAAGCAGAAGCGGAACCTCAGCCTGGACAACAGTCGGAAGGGCGCGCAGCTGCATCTGCAGCAGCTCACGGCGAAGGCGAACGAGACGCGAGCGCGCAAGGAGCAGCAGCACAGCCGCAAGCAATATCTGGAGGCAGAAGCGAAACTGGGACGCGGCGCGAGCGACCAGGATGAGATCTATTCGGTGCGCAGCTCCGCGCAGAACTCCGAAGCGACGGTCAAGGTGCCCATTGGGCGTCGTCTGCTGCGCGGCGAAATTGGCATCAAAAGCTTTAATTACTATCTGCTCAAGGAGGGCCTCAAGAGCTCCAAGAAGCTGGACAAGCAGCGCAGTGCGCCCGATGCGCCTAGTGGCAGCAGCAGCGGCAAGAGCAAGCTGCACACGCGCAGCGAGGAGAACATTTACGAAGAGATCTTCTTCAAGGAAACGCCAAAGCACAAAGGCAGCGCCGCTAAAGCAGCTCCAACTGTCCAATCCGATGATGAAATGCAGAGCCAGAGCCAGAGCCAGAGTCAGAGTCAAAGCCACAGCCTGAGCCAGAGCAAGAGTCAGAGTCAGCATCTGCATCAGCATCAGCAGAGCTTGCCGGATGCTGGCGTCTATGCCGACTGCGAGCTGTGCATGCAGCAGTGCAGCGATGAGAATTGCAAATATTGCCTGATTCAGGCGGAGCCCTCGCAGCAGGAGGCGGCCAACGAGAAGCAGGCGTCGGCGGCGTCAGCTCGAGCACTGCCCGCTGCGCACATACTGGAATTTCAGTCGTACAATCCAAATAATCCGGGCGTATATAAAATCGAAACAACGCCGGTGGCCATTACGGGTGAATACAATCCGATATTGCAGTTCCAGAAGTCCTCGACGACAACGGCCGCAGCAACAACAGCAACAATAACCGAACAGCAGCAGCAGCAGCAGCAGCAACATCACAAGCAACAACAACAACAACACCAACAACATCATCATCATCAGCAGCAACAGCAACAGCAACAACCAGCTTATGGCTTCAATCAATATCAGCCACATCAAAAGTCTTATCAGCCCAATCTGTCCAGTCATCCGTTAACAAATCATTATGCCGTGGGAGGAGGTTTGCTGCTGGCGCAGGTGACACCGCGACGCGCCCACCTGCCGCCGCAGGGTTACATTGTGGGCTATCAGAATGGTGGAGGAGGTGGCGGCGTCGGTGGCGGCGGTGGTATGAGTGTGGGCGTGGCCAACTCTGTGCATCGCATCAATACGAAATCCTCCTCGTCCAGCGACTCACTGCCCTACCACAAATACAACACAATGGCGCGTCTGGAGGCGAATGTGTTTGCCGCGCCGGCCACAGGTGACATTTACTATGCCATCGAGGGCGTGGCCGGGCAGCCGCTGCATCCGCTGATGTATGCTGCCAGCCGGCCCATTGGCGGCTCACAGATTCTGGTGGATCAGTTCGAGTCGCAGATGTACAAGAGCGACTCGAAGGCCTCCATACTGAGCGAGTTCTCGCTGCGCAGCAGCGACAATTCCCAGCGCTACACGCGCTATCCCCACAGATCGGGCCTGTTCTCCTCGTCCAACTCGGGTGCGCATCAGCGTCGTCTCTTTGGCAGCACGGAGAACTGTCGCGTGGCCTACGACTGTCGGCGTTGCAGCTTCGATGGCGTCATGAGCGCTGGGCTGGAGTCGGCGAGTCGAGCTCCGGCGGAGCGCTGCAGCAACTCGGATAACAGTCGCTACGAGTGCCGCAACTGCGACTGCTCCTCGAGCTACTTCAGCTCGGACTTCGATGACATCTATGGCTCGATGGCGCGCGGGGGCAGCAGCGGCATTCCGCGGAAAACTGCAGCCGGCACCTTGCCATCGAGTGGACCAGCTGAGCCCAGCGGCTACAAGCAGACGGCATCCGTGCCGGAGCAGCCGCAGCAATTGGATCTCAAGCAGAACAAATATGCCATGGACTTCTTCAAGCATGTGAACGATGTGAAGCGCAGCATCTATCAGTCGGAGATGCAGCGCAACAATAGCTTGGAGTCCACACGTCGTGGACACAGAAACAGCAGCAGCAACAACAACAACAACAGCAGCAGCAACAGCAACAACAACAATAACAACAATTCCAGACTGAGTCCCACGCACACAGCACACTCCGAGCCGCTGGAGGCGGGGCCAATCATAACAACATTACCATTAAGCAAGGGGCGTGGCAGCAGCGCTCCTAAGCCAACGCCGGCGCCCAGGACCAGCTTACAGAATCAGTCGAAGAAGCAGCCAGTGGAGAAGGCGCCACACACGCCCAGCACTCGCAAGCCACAGCCCACGGAGAGGCGGGAGTATCCGTCGCTGGATCGACTCGTTGCCTCCTCCACGGGCGCCGTGCCCAAGTGGCAAGGCCTGGGCATCTCCGAGGAGGAGCCCAAGAGCAGCAAGCAGCGGGCAAAGCACAAGGAAACGGAGCCACGAGAGCGACGAGATCGCAGTGCTCCGGCAGCCGCCAGTGAGGCAACCATTGGAACGTCGGGCTCGTCGGGCAAAAAGCATCATCGCACCAATAGCGGCAAATCGCACTCGAGTGGCAGCAATCCGCCGCCTAGCTCCCGACGCAAGGACATACCCGCTCCGCCGCCACCCTCTCCGGCCACCTACTCGGATCTGCAGGAGCTGAAGGCCAACATGGAAGGACTCCGTGACGACACCAAGTCCAGGTCCTTGGAGAGCGAAGCTAGCGAAACTCCAACACTCGTGGATCATACCTCTGCCAAGAGTAGTCTGGGCACGGTCAAGGAAACCGAGGCAGCTGTGGCAACGGAGTCGCCAACGGCAGCTGAGGAAGGAGTCAAGCGCAGTGGGACAGTGGATGCAGCTAAAGCTGCACCCGAAGTGGACGACGATGATGTCTTTTACGATGCACGCAGCGAAAATTCGAGTTTATTGCCACAGCCAGAGATGACTGTAGGCGTGGCAGAGCCCGAAAATACACAGGATCTGCAAAATAAGGTAAGGATTTAATTTTGATAAAAATAGACTTGGAATCTTAGGACTTCCAAGAAAGTAGGTTAAGTACAAATTGAAATCTTCTTATTTGACGCCGTAAGCAGGTGAGGAAGTAAGGAAGTTGGGCTTGAACGACTGCATAATACCCTTTACAGTGGGAATATTAAGTGAAGTTGAAATAAAATAAATAATTTCGCTATGACCATACCAAGATATAACTCTAGAGGAAATCACAAATGATTTAATATAATAGCTGCCACGCCCCCAAGTTTAACATTTTATATTAAATGCATATACAGACAGATAAATGAACCGAAAAACTATATACTCTCTTTTCACTCCCTAATAAGAGTCATAATACACTTAAAGACACATTAAATTTATATTCATACATATAATTATTATTATTTAATTTTTATTATTTATTTAATTTTTAGCAACTTCAATTTTTTCACTATATTTCTTATAAATGTTGTCTTAATTCACTTGAATTTTCAACAATTTGCAGGATATGTGTGGTATGCAGCCAGAGGTTGATAAATCTGAGATGCTGACACCAGCAATTGGCCTGACCCCGAAGGTGGATAAGAATAAACAACAACAAGAAGAAGAGAACGAACAAAAAGCACAAAAGCCCAAGGCCAACGAGGAAAACGCATTAGCTAGCACAACAATGGATACAAGCACAGCATCGACTGTATCGAGTCAGGAGCCGCCGACATACGATGACCATGTTGCCAACGCAGCAGCCGAGGCTGGCAGCAAAAATGATGCCGCAACATGTTGCCAGAGCGAGCCAGCAGCACCAACGGCAGCGAGTGGGCAGCATGGCGAAGCAACAGTCAAAACAAACATCGAAGCAGCGAGCAAAACAAAACACAATAATAATGCGAGCATAACTGAGCTAACGACCAGAAATGTTGACGCAACCAATGCGGAGGGGCAAGCGAGCAGCGCGCTGGCAACAAATGTTGCCAACGCCAGCGATTCAACAATCATTGGCGCAATATCGGAGCTCAGTTGCAAGTCGGCACAGACGGATAGCGCTACGCTTGCGAACAGGTACGCGCGTTAACGTGAAATACTCACTCACACACACAACCACACAGGCACATTCTGGCACACAGAGGCACACGTTCACTAAAACTGCCGCTAATCTGTGGCAATATAGATACACACACACACACAAACACACGCTTAAGCATACTACCTTCTGCATAGATAAGTTTTAAACTAACTAATTGAATAAGTGAAACACTTGTTGTGCGTGTAAAGTGATTTTAGTCATCAAAATTTGTTGCACCTGTGCATACAATCGATAATCAGTGAGTGCTTTACGGTAAATCATAAAAGATGCTGCAAACCTTTTACAATTTACAAACATGAAAAGTTGCAGAGCGTATGTGTGTGTGTGTGAGTGACTCTTTTTGTGCGCCTGTGTGCGTGTGTGTGTGTGTGTATGTTGCCTATGCAGCAAATGTTGAGTGCAAAAAGTTTTCATAATAAATCTGATCAATAATTAGCATAAATGCAAGTGCTGAACAAGCATATGCATACATATACATATGCATACATACATACATATGCATATGAAGAGATTTAAGTAAAGCAAGCAAAAGCGAGAGTTAATACCATTTACAGAGTGATTTATTATAATTTTTAAAATAATATTTTCTATATATCAACTCTACAAGAACTTTTAAGTGAAAACTCTTAACGTCTCAAGACTTTTACTCGTAACTCTCATATATTATTTACCTTGCAATAGTTTTTACCTATATATAATAACCCTATTACAGTGCAGTGCTTAAGCTTCACTCTTAACTCCCTATTAAGCTGGTTTATTAATAGCTTAGAGCCTTTGGTTGACCTTGGCATTTGTGGAGCTCGAAATTATTTGTGTGCCTAATGGTTTATCTCGAGGGTTAAATGGACTAAATGGGCTTTATTTAGGTAACCTGTTCCCTATTACAAATTCATAAAGTCTAAAATATATATGTATATCTAATGTAGATCTTTAACAGTAATTTCACTCCAAACTGAATTCAACTACAACTTCAAGCTCTGATTGGAATTGCCCAATGTTGCAATCAGAGTAACTGTAATTGGAATAGCAGTTGGTGCTCTGCTTTAGTAATTAATTGGTTAACCGCGACAGGTCGTGTTGTCATTTATAGCTAATTAATTCATACACAAACTGCCGCTAGAGATGTGATTTATGCATAATAGGGAAATATGAGCAGAATTCTTAGGGGATTCCAATTAGATAGAGTGCTATGTGAGCTTATAAGAAGTGAAGTGAAGTGTGTAGCCTTGAGGGCAATTACATACATACATACATACATACATTCATGCATACATATAAGCAGAAAATATTTTCATTAGTGAAGTGCCATGAAGCTGGAATGAAAATCAAAATTAGCAAGTTTAAATTTTATATTACTTAAGATGAGAATAATGTGAAATTGTAGCTGTTTTATATAGGTTTTTTTTTGGGCTAACAAAACATTTTAGGTATACAAAATTTTAGGATGAAAAGACAAATTATATAAAAATAAATACTATTTAAAATGTTAAAATCAAAGATCGTAGTCCACATTGATAGAGAACAATTTATTAATATTTAAAATATATATAGTATACATTTATTTTACTTTTTCTTATAATTTATTCATTCATTATATCATAATTTATTTGACTAAATGAAGATTTTAAATACAGGAAATGTTTGGGGTGGAAAAAGTTAAATTCGAATTAAAAAAAAAGCTTCCAATCATGTAGAATAAAAGAAGTACAAAATATAAACATATTATTTATCAAATATAATTATTTACAAATCCCTAAAGCTTCGACACACATTGAATCAGAATAACGAGTGGAAAAAAAAAAATAATTAAAACAATATTTCTAAAATTGCAAACCAAATTGAATATGAATTGCAATTTGAGCAAAATATAATAATAATTTTCAAATTTCCACAAATTTCACTGCACATCGTTTCACAAATTCAATTCAATTTGCAATAAAGCCAAATCGATTTACTGCTATTCATGTACCGTTAGCCTTTAAGCATCCTCATTTCATTTGCTCTACAGTGCTCAGCTCCTTTCTCATTTTCATTATAAATACTTTTCGCAACATGCTTCTAATATCATTTTTTTTTTTTCGTAATCAATAACTTGCGGAAATATATATTTCCTGCGCACAAAGCCGAACAGAAATATATATTTTGTTGTTGTTTTTTCTTTTGTGTGTGCGTTGCGTGTGTGTGTGATGGAATTCGATGTATTCTATTTGCATTTGGGCAGGAATACAATACAAAAGCAAAGTAAACACGACCACAAATCAAAGAGTCGCATCCACTGTGAGCAGGTTGCCAATCGCGTGCTGAAGGGCAACAAAATTGAGCAAATGCATATACATATGCGTATATGGATATATATATAAGTATATATAAGTATACGTAATTTAATATCCGCAAATGAAACCGTGCTAGAAAATATTAAGTATACGCAAAAATAATTTAACTAATTCGATTTGCCGCTAAATATATTGAACATCTTAGCTTATGAAATGAAATTGATGGAATATGGAATGTAAAAATTTTTAAAAAATTATATTTATTAATTAGTGGCGCCCATTAGCTAACTGATGTGTAAAACTCAGGGGCAGAGCTTAAAATTTTCGTTTTTGGCTTATTTACCTTTCGTAAAATCACAATTTTCATTGTGAAATGGCTGCGACAAGAATTATTTTATAAATGCTGTCCCTTTGCAAGATACCACTTGTCCTCTTTCATTGCTAAAATTGATTGGAATTTATTGAGAAATCCACACGATTATTCTACTCGTTCTAGGACAATCAAATGTTTGAGGAATTTGAATCGGATTTTTCAGTTGCAAGACTAATATTTTCTCTTCTTGAATTTTAATATTGATATAATAAGAAAATTGAACTTTTCCTTTGTGTTGCTCTTTGCCAAAACGAAAATCTTGTGCGAATATATTTTGCACTTTAAGTAGAATTGTGCTATAGGTAGACAATACTCTTCAAGGCTGTGCTTTATGCTTTATATATACGCATCATACTTTGTTTTCCTATTTAATATAACAAATTGATGCACAATAACCTGTTAGTAAGTCCTGTATGAATTCCTTCTCAGAGTGCCCTATTAAAGGTCATATGGCCATTTCCCTAAGAGTCTTTAAGAGCGAGACTTACATTGGTCTTGATTGTTATATCTTTATACCCTGAACCCATTTTCAATGGGAAATCAGGGTATAATGGTTTTGTTGAAATGTATGTAACAGGCAGAAGGAGGCGTGGCAGACCCCACAAAGTATATATATTCCTGATCAGGGCGACGAGCTGAGTTGATTTGGCCCTGTCCGTCTGTCTGTCCGTCTGTCCGTCTGTCCGTCCGTCCGTCTGTCCGTCTGTCCGTATGTATGAACGCGTCGATTTCAGAAGATATAAGAGTTAGAGACTTCAAATTTTTTTTTAAATGTTCGTAATTACAGCGCGCATATCAAGTTTATCATTAAAAATCGATAACTCATCCCGATCTTTTTTTATCGATAAAAAACCTTATCGAAAACCAGTTTTAAAATTATATCTTCTACACCTTTATTGCTAGAGTCTCCAAAATTTTAATGTATGCCTATATGCAATTTATACAATTTCGGTTTTTGTTAAAATTTACCCCCCACCCTTAAATTCACCCCCTCACCCTCACATTTGTAAAAAGCGTATTTCAAATACTAGAGACTTGTGCTTTGGCAATTACATGCATATCCATGTCATAATCATAATCTGAAAGTTTCATGAAGATCGTACGTCCACAAAAAAGTTATTAAGCAATTAAGTTCTCATAGTAAGTGCTCACTGCCGCCCATGCGTGTTTATGCTTGTGTGTGTGTATATGTATGTAATTGTTTGTGTATGTGTGTGTGTGTGTATGTGTGTATGTATGTGTGTGTATGTATGCCTGTGTGTGAGTGCGTGCGTGCGTGTGTGTGTGTGTGTGTGCGTGTTTCTTGTGTAAGCTGAAAGACGCGAACAATTATTGAAATAGCTATTACTCCAAGGGTTCAGGGGATCTCGTAGTCGAGTAGTCTCGACTAGAGCTTTCTTACTTGTTTTGATTAATCTTTATTAGCAACTATCTTTTATGACATTGAGCGAATTTCTTTTGTGGAAGATAAAAGATAAATTGAAGACTATATGTTGGGCTTATACTTATTATGATAAATATTATTTATATGTGTGTGAAATGTAATGTTAATGTTATATTTTACTCTCCTTAAGTGTTTCTAGCTGTGCTTGGAAAGGTCTTCCAGGAATGTTGCGTATGCTTAGGCAATTGATATAGGCGTATACTCTATAGATGACTTCATTCTAGACTTACCATATTGTACTCTGCCCCCATTTTAGCATTTTCTACTGAAACTCTTTGCAACTAAATTAGATTTCAAGCTTTAGTCTCATAGATGCCAAGCAAAGCTTAAATCACTTTATGTTGATTATGTAAATTTCGTTGGGCAAACGCTCAATTTAGTTAATATGAAATGTCGATGATGATGGCCGCACTTGACTCGACTGGCCTTGACTTGAGTGGGAAGAAATATTCCCTTGAAAGGGTTCATAAATTGAGTAGAGCTTCAGCTGAAACGCCCACGCATATCAGCTGAATCCAAAGGCTGTCAGTTAAGAGGGAAAACCTAACTCGGAAATCAACTGATTTTTGGCTTAGAATATTGACTAAATCAATAAATATATAAGAGTATATACATATAGATATATTTATAGATGTACATTTATAAATTGAATACATCACTTAAAAGCCTTGATGAGATATTGACTAACTTTTGGTCGACTCGGTGTCGGACTCGGACTCGGAATTGCTTCGGTAAATTTTGGCGCAACATTTTTATTGAAGCGGTAAAACTTGTTTTCTATGACCGCCACATAATTTGCTCTTGGTCATTGGCTTTCGACGATTGGCAGTCGCCACGGATCGTTAGGCCAGTTTTGCAATTGCATTGCATTTGCAGAAACGTCTAGCATTAGCGGCTCGAAAGTGCAAGTAAAAATTCGATGGCAAGTGCAATCGATTTACCCATGCTCAACATACAATAGCAGCAGCTCCACACGATGCACGATGCACGATGCACGCCAGGCGCTGACAAGCGAAACCAGTTTTATAGGTTGCATTGCCTTTGTGGCTGCCACATTCCTGACAGTCTCTCAAACTACTATATATAAACCCCATTAATATAAACATATATAAATGGGAATTTAAGGTATGAGAAGAGGAATTCATACGGCTTTACATTGTCATTGACTACTCTTATTCATTTTCCCATTACTGTTCACATCTTGATGGCCTCTATCATTGATTGATCTCTCATTTATCAACATCTCAAACATTCGATATACCCTTTCTGACAACTATCTCCACTTACAGGGTGTCAAACTTGTCTCTCCTGTGTGTGCGCCATGGCATTTCCCGTATATTAAGTGCAAAATTTCACTTTCATATAGTTCGCTAAGAGAGATAAAAAAACTCTTTAAGTAAACTACATAATATACGTACTCATAAGGAAGCAACAATTGGTAATTTCTTAGTCATTCACTTGCAAATTGATTTATTTTGTACAATTATCCAATTGCTCAGTGACTTTGCATTGAACCCAGCGGGCAATGACCATAGGAGGCCAATTTGTCAATGCTTTGCGTGTTTTGATGATGTTTATATATAGATGGTATTTAAAGTCTTAGTAAAAGTAGAATAACAAAAAGAAAACTCTGCATTGCTGTGAATAACATCTTTGTCTTAGAAATTTGGTAGAAGAAAAATATAATATTTTATATATATTTGTTTCATTTACAATGCTGCAATCCTGGTCTCATAATATTTACCTTAGTATTATTTATTTTAAATAAGAATTAAATATTAATACTATATCTGTATAATAGTAAAAGTAGAATTCAGTAAGAGGAATTCCTAAAAATTGTATTTATTTCTTTCTCCTATAAGTATAACCTTATTATATTTTATTTGCAATATTTTTCATATTAATCATATATTCTAATTACTATTATAATAATTTTTATTTTTAATACTAATTAATAAACCTCATACTGCTTTTCCTCTTGAATTTTAACATTAATTGAATATGCATATGCATTATTATATCTAAATCATATTTTTACCTTCAAATACATACCCTCAAAGAAGAGACAGAAAATTCGTTGACATTCAACACATGACTGAAGATATTAGCAGATGCTGAGAAACATGGCACATGAAAATGATAGATCGAATTGTATGTGTATTTTGGTTGTTCTGGTGAAATTGATTGTTGTTTGGTGCTGCCCATCCATATCCATCAGACGCACACACATTAAAAGTTACGAAAGATGTGGCATGCACACATATGTATATGTGTATGTACAGTTATGCTCATATATATTCGTAATGCTGACTGGCACAACATATAAGCATAAGACACATATGGGCTGCGCTCCAAATTTGTATTTAATGGAAGATGAACTTGTTTTTGTAATTTTTTTATTTTGTTTTTATATATAATGTATCTCTTAAAATAAAAGGTGAGAAGTAAAGTGTCCTCTCACCTCTAAGTGTGTGTGTCGCCCAGCAACAGACAAATAAATATAGAAATTGATAAAAATTGCCTCTGCCACGTGGCAAAATTCGAAGCTGAGTTCTCTCCTCACGGCTTTGTAAATTATTTTGTAGGCAACGCCTCGTGTCACAGCGCCACTTCAACACCTCCGCCAGTTGCGACAGATGTAAAGCTCAAGCAAGAGCAGACATCTCAAAGACAATTCAATCACAATTGCTATTCTATGTATAGAATTGAAGCGGAGTGCACGCATTTGCATGTATGAGTGTGAAAATGCATAGAGAGCAGGCTTAAGCTTGGGCTAATCTAATTGACTCTTGGCTTTGTGAATCGACGAAACATTTTATTTACTTAACCGATTTTTATAAAATATTCCACAATGAATTGGAACATTCTCTTGAATATCTTACAATTCTCAATATTCTTAAGTCTCTAGTCTCTAGTCTCTAGTCTCTAGTCTCTAGTCTCTAGTCTCTAGTCTCTAGTCTCTAGTCTCTAGTCTCTAGTCTCTAGTCTCTAGTCTCTAGTCTCTAGTCTCTAGTCTCTAGTCTCTAGTCTCTAGTCTCTAGTCTCTAGTCTCTAGTCTCTAGTCTCTAGTCTCTAGTCTCTAGTCTCTAGTCTCTAGTCTCTAGTCTCTAGTCTCTAGTCTCTAGTCTCTAGTCTCTAGTCTCTAGTCTCTAGTCTCTAGTCTCTAGTCTCTAGTCTCTAGTCTCTAGTCTCTAGTCTCTAGTCTCTAGTCTCTAGTCTCTAGTCTCTAGTCTCTAGTCTCTAGTCTCTAGTCTCTAGTCTCTAGTCTCTAGTCTCTAGTCTCTAGTCTCTAGTCTCTAGTCTCTAGTCTCTAGTCTCTAGTCTCTAGTCTCTAGTCTCTAGTCTCTAGTCTCTAGTCTCTAGTCTCTAGTCTCTAGTCTCTAGTCTCTAGTCTCTAGTCTCTAGTCTCTAGTCTCTAGTCTCTAGTCTCTAGTCTCTAGCCTCTAGTCTCTAGTCTCTAGTCTCTAGTCTCTAGTCTCTAGTCTCTAGTCTCTAGTCTCTAGTCTCTAGTCTCTAGTCTCTAGTCTCTAGTCTCTAGTCTCTAGTCTCTAGTCTCTAGTCTCTAGCCTCTAGTCTCTAGTCTCTAGTCTCTAGTCTCTAGTCTCTAGTCTCTAGTCTCGTCTCTAGTATAATTTCGCACCTTTTTCGATTCATAAAGATTTCACAATGTTTTCTTGAATATTTGTATATACTTATGATATAGACATACATATATATTATATGTATATCACTTTGATACAAGACGAAATGTGGCAAAACATCAATACTATATTTGGAAACTAGAAACTCAAAGAATTTTTACCATGGCGACAGACATAAACTCAAACCCACTTACGGCGAAAAGAGAAACAAGTTGAAGTAGCAAAAGAGAGGGCGAGACTGAGAGAGAGCAACTTAAAGATATCTTGTGAAATGAAATTCATATATATTATATAAACACCTAACTTTTGCTCTTTTATGTTAATTGAGTAAGAGTTAAACAAATATGTGTAATTTCCATTGCATTCAGTATACCAAAAGCCTCATTATACCCTTTCACCTATATTCTACGGTTTACAGGGTATAAAAACCGCCTTCCTTATAAGGAAAATTATTTACTTCAACTTGAAACACATAATGCCATATGTTCAGAGTTTTTTTCTGTTTTGCTTCTGCTTGGTTTTCTTGAGTGAAGCGCTTTTTGCGTAAATAATCTAAGGCAAGCCACATTTTATAAGTATTCGTGGGTGTTAACATTTATGTATTGGCAGCAAACACGTTTATAAATTTTAGCTGCGTTTCTTATAGTTTTACTACAACAGGCCTACGTGAACTTTGCTTAAACTTGAATGAAGTTTATTAAGTACAAATTTGATTGATTAGCGATTCATAGTAGCCAAAACTTGACCAAACAGTCTTTGCTTTAATCACGTCTATCTACTTTGCAGAGATCCTAGAGTGCCTACAGAAAGTGTATTCACTTGCCAGGACCTCACGTGCCTCGACTCCAGCGAGGCATTCTCGGACGATAGTCACTTGACGCGTGACTCTGTGACGCATGAGTCGCAGAACGACGAACTGTCCTCATCGACGCACGACAAGCTTGATCTGAGCACCTTGCCCTTGCCCGCTTTGCCACCCAAGCGAAGACGCACTCGATTACGCACCAGTCCCTCCAAGCATCATCAACAGCAGCAGCAGCAGCAGTCGCAGTCGCAGCATCCTCAGCATCAGCAGCAGCAGCGCTCGGAAAACCAGGAATATGGAGATGCGGCCGAGAAGTCTCCGCACCGAAACAAAAAGCCACAAAGGGATTCAGTTCAGGATTCGATAAATGCTGAGCTGCCAAAGGTGCCGCATGACAGCGCCAGCGTCAAAGAGAAGCAGCTCCAGCAAAATCTCTCTGCATTCCAGCAGTACGTCGCCAAGCGACGCGAGAGTCTTGAGGCATCTACGCGAAACTTCAACGAGAAACTGGAGGCGCGTAGAATGCTCTGCCACATGGGTGGTAGTGGTGGGGCAGGCGGTGCGGCCACAGCATCCACAGATGCCGGCGTACCCACCTATCTGTTCGGTGAGACCTTCTATGGCATACCCGATGCCATGCGAAAGTCCCATTCCCGAGCCGGCCACAAGGAGGAGATCTTCCTCAACAAATCGGGCTGGGTGCAAGTGAGCAAGAAGCTCAACTCCAACAATGATACCAAGAGCCGACGCGTCAATTACAGTCACTACAATGGGGACTCTGGCATCATGGACAAGGGGCATGGTCGCAGCTCCATACGGGTCATGCAAACTGATCATTCGCATCGTCCGGATCTGACCAGGTCATTCGGCCATCAGTCGTCCAGTCGCTGTGAGCGAGAGCCCAAGTTTGTTGGCTCCAAGGTGGAGGAGCTGATTCAGCGAAATGAAGCGCGATTGGGTGGAATCTCATCGAGAGATCCAGCGCTGCGTCCCGGCTATCGAATCATGGATCCCCAGCTGGCCAACTTGCTCAACGAGCGCCCCGGCTTTCTGCCCGTCAACAACGATCTGGACTCACCGCCACCCGTCACGCCAATTCTTTCGCCTCCGCCCGCATTTCAGGACAACAGCAGCAACAGCAGCCGCGCCCTCCGCCATCAGGAGCGGCGCAAAGTCAATATTCAGCAACAGCCGCGAGTGGTGCAGCCCCCGCACCAAATGCAACAGCAGCTCCGGCAAGGCCCCGCCCCCGTCAATGCCACTGGCAATGGCAAGGGCATGGTCTTCTCGCGCAGCTTCGAGTACGACACGCGTCGATCGACTCCAACCAACACCTACGTGGAGACATTTTCGCGCAGCTTCGACGACAACCTGGCGGAACGGCCCTTAGCCATGCCATCTTTGGCTGTGCAGCGTGAGCGTTCGCTCAACTTCAGCACGCTGACGGGCAACTCGCCAAACTACCTGACGAAACGCGAGGGCACCACCTCCAGCCGAACGCTGCGCAGCCGCGACAACTCGCCCAAGTATCTGCAGCCGCAAACTACGGCCTATCTGAACGCCTCGGTTAAGGAGGCTCCGCCGGCCTACAGCGTGGCCAGCACCAATATGGCCAAGTACTCGCCGCGCTCACGGCACGATCGCACCTTCGAGCGCTCCAAGAGCCACAATGTGATTGGCAGGTCGCGGAAGTCGCAGTTCAATGTAGGCAACAATGGCCCAGGCGTCCAGCCGCCTGTCGCCTTGGGCATGTCGCGCTTCCGCAGCCTCGACATGACCGTCAATAATCGACTCAACTCATGTGATAGCGGCGCTCGTTCAGGTGAGCATTAAATTTGATGAGTTTTTCCTATAAGTTGAAATTCTAGTCTGTCCGTCTATAGCTGGGGTAAGCCATTGGAAATTTTCCATTTACCCCTTATATAAATATCTGGTAGTTTTACTTTAATTCATGTCAATATGATCAGTATGTTGATCTTCAATATCTGCTCTCTTCACTTCTAGCCTGTCCGTCCTTAGCTTGTTTGTATAGCTAGCTACAATTTTCTATTTATTCCTAATTCAAATATAATTTCTCTTTATTTGCATTTGCCCTTTTCAATATGTCAATATAATCAGTAACGTTGATCTTCAATAATTCCTCTAAGATCACATCTATCCGTCCTTAGCTCGTTTCTACAGCTAGTGCTAGCCCCCCTTGTGGGCTTATGTAACCCTAAACCTAATTTAATCTCATTTTATTTAACTTTCTCCCATTTCAACATATTACTAATACTCAAAAAATTGCTCTTTAAACTTCATCTTCCCAGATCTTTCCAATGATGAGCTAGACAACGAAGATGGCAGTTCAACGGAATTCCTCTCGGCAACTAACTATCAATTTCCGAATCTCAGCACGAGCAACGTCAGCATCTCGCCGTTTAAGAATCAGCGCCAACGATCCCTGACACCCGATCGCAACGACTCGCACAGCTCGTCGAGCAGCTTGCGAAAGCAGCGTTCGCTGACGCCCGAATCACGGTCGCTGACACCGGAGGAGAGGCGTCGGAAGGGATCTCAGATATCGTTGAGTGCCTCACGACAGAACTCCAGCTCCCGCAGCAACACGTTAGAGCGTCGGCAGCGGCACGACGAGAAGACGCCACCGACCATCTCACGCAGCTCCTCTAGCTCCAGTTACAGTGGCGGTGAATCGCATGAGCTACTGAATGGCAGTCCCAGCGGCGCAGCGGCTGCTGCCGGCAATGCTCCAAGCGCTGTCAATTATCGCCGCTCCGCGGGACGCACAAGCACGGCCAAGCAGGCGGAACAGGAACATCTAATACGTCGCTCCAGGTGAGTAGAGTAGCTCGAAGTCATTTACGAATCTTATAAATAAATGCCAACCACAGCAGATCCCTTCAGCTGAGTGAACGCTCGCCAAATCGTGGACAGAAAAATAGTATAAAAGGTGCGATCCCCATGCAGAAGCAGCAGCAGCAGCAGCAGCAACAGGCAGTGGCTCACTACCAGCAGGCGAACAGTGGCATGTTTCCCAACTCCTTGCGTGCCACGGTGTCGGCCAACAAGCTATTGCCCAGCTCGAAGAGCTCTGCGGGCGGCAGCTCAACGCGACAGCGCCAGAGCGTGGACGTGGACAAGGCGCGCTCCTTCGACTTTGACTACAACAACTACAACCGCAGCGGCAACAGCGGCAGTGCCACACGCTCCGCCCATAACAGCGTGTGTGTGGGAGATGGCGTTGGCAATCAGAATCTGCGCCTGGACTGCGACAAGAGTCGCTCCTTTGACGAGGACTACCGCGAGGCGCTGCACAACAACAATGGCGGAAGTGGCTCGGGCATTCACTTTCTGCAGCCGGGCACGGAGTCCACATCGAATGCTCGCCTGCGGCAATCCACATCGCCGGTCGGCGCCGCTGGTCACGAGCGGGGCACCACGCGTTCGCCGCAGTCGTCCGGCTCCTCATCCAACAACCTCCATCTCAGTGCGCAGCGCACGAACAGCCCGCAGGGCAACAGCTATGGCACGCGCCTGTGCGATCATGAGCTGACCTACGAGATGCTGCGCAAGTCGCCCATTATGAACTTCCGGCGTGGCGACAGCGACTACGAGATTCCTGTGCAGTTGCGCAACCGCGAAACGATCAATTCGGGCGGCAACAGCGAGCTGAATTTCATGAGCAACGAAACGCATATTTATGAACACCCAACGACGGTGCTGAAGCCACAGCGCTCCAGTTCGCGTGATGAGAATTTGTATAGGCCGACGACAGGTGCATTGCCACGCAGCAGCAGGTATTGAATGGACTGAAATGAATAGATATCTATACACATATGTATATGTATATCTATATGTCGATATTTGGCCATTTATGGGCCAGCACTAACTATGTATATCTCTGTCACCTATATCTAAAAACGCACGAAAGGTCTCAACTGAAAACAAACAAACACAAAGTCGCCCCTATCTAAAACAAACGATTCTAAAGCCAAGCTTCAGCGACTAATTCGACCAAAGCCAGCTCCCAGAGCTGGCTTAATCTGTTGTAACAAGACTGCTTATGCACACTGAACCGGTGTCAACTAACTCATATTTACTCCTCCTTTATGCTAATACTATCGACTAACACTAATGGGTAATGGATTAGAGTATTGCGTATTAAATGTAATTTAAGACAAAAAAAAAAAAAAAAAAAAAAAAAAAAACTAATAATCACCTAAGAATGCGAAAAGGACTCGTGGACAGTTTCAAGTTTCCTGTTAACGCATATTTTCCAGTCCGCGCACGGCTGCCAACAAGAAATGCCGAAAGAGTCTAACATCGGGCGACTATTGGCCAAGATGTGAGGCCTGCAGTGCCAGTGGCCCCAGCAGCTTGCCAAATTTTGCACCTGTCAAATTAGAGCCTGCAGCAGGTGAACAAAACTCAACGACTGTCGTCTCGAAAGACGCGCCACAGCCACATGTTTCCAAAGTGGCTCTAAACGGAAACTTCCTTAAATTCGACATAAGTAAAACCACAACGATTTCGCCTCGCGTCAATGCAACTCCTGCTGCACCGCAATGGACTTTCTTGTGCAGCGGTGGCGTCAATCCAGAGTCAAGTCAGAGCAAAAGTCAGCGACAGCCAACGGCAGTTATACGACCTCGTGTCATTCCACTGACCGCCAGTTCACTTGTGGTCCTAGGAAATCCAGATTCGTCTATGAAGATACCGGAACAGGAATCCAGGGAGAGTCCGATGGAAACATCCACAAGGTAAGTTGAATTTGTTACTCAGCTGAGCTGAATTTACTTTAAACTAATTATAATTTTTCAAAAGTAAAGCTCGGAGTAAATATAATAATAACTCTTTATATATTTTCATCTCATTCTTAACAGCATGAAAAGTAACTTGGAAAAGGCTAACCAGAACCAGAACCAGAAGTCAGCAAATCAGAATTGCCAGGCAACGACAATCCGCAATAAAAACTCTGTAAAGCCCATAATACCGGAAGATTACAAACGGCAACGTTCTCATTCACTTCCAAGCAGAATTGCGGCATCAGAGAAATTAGAAAATGTTGCAACTGATTTGAGGTAAGACTTTTATATTAAATGATTTAATATGTTCCATTAATTAAATTAGATAACTTTGTTATTTCATCATCATTGACTCATTAGAAGAGATTCAATTTACACTTCCTCTCACAACAAAAACGTCTCTTTGATTCTACATCAAACTTTGTCCACAGCTATGAACTTTCAGGAAGTTGAAATTTTTGTAGCTGTTCACACGAGGGGAACCACGCGCAGTAAACTGTCCTATATTAAGCTAATAAAATATTTAAGATTCTTTCGAAAGAATCCAAATAACAAACCAAAACAAGTAGGAATGCCAGGCGTAACAGACTGCGTGATACTCGTTCGTGACTTATAGACGACTAAAGTTATTTTAAGATGAATGTTTTTTTAAAGGGTGATTATAACATATTGATCATCGGTTGTCCATAAAATTTGTAGACCAATCTTTGCAGGCTGGTATCAAGACATAGACATACAAAACCTATATACTCTTTTCACTACTTGAATGTATATAGACCTGCGCCTAGTAAAGAAATTCTAAGACTTGTTGACACAAAACGAACGACTCCAATGCTTAGCCAAGTTCACTGAACCATCATACAGCTGCACTTTAAACTCACAGATGCAGACATACTTACATACATACGTACATATGTATTTAGACAGGCATAGACCTCAGGCTATTTACAATTTATACTGTGTACTTTTTCTTGCCGACTGACAAGGCTATAAATAAGTTATGAGCCTCTTTGTTCATCTGTCTACAGGAAAATGCATACAGAAAGTACTTTATAGCTGAGCAATCTCTGTTATTAGATCAGTGTGTCAGTTACCTCAGCAGGTCTGATTGAGACTCTAAAAAATTCTGTACGGAGCAGAGCAAGGGATCATTCGTTATGCTTGACAATATGCATTTATGCTTATTTATTTATATAAGCACGCACATGCCAACCATAAACAAAGTCCCAAATGCTACATGTCTCGTCGCTTTGAGTGCTTCTATTTTCGAACTCAGAACATTACAACTTTATCTTGAACTTTCTTAACATGTACATTATCATATTGAGACGAAATGTTTAACGCAAAGAAAGAGACAAGTTTAATCTACTTGATTCGGTGTTTGATGGACATTTTTAATGCAGAAAATCCCAAAGGGATTTAATGTCAGACGGCATTAAGCGACTGGCATACACTTACATATTTCTGTTATACTCGAAGAATATGTTTGGAAAGAACCAAATAATCAGTTTGTCACTGCGCATGACATAAAGTCAAGGATTCTTGCATACATATTGAGAAGTTGAAATTTTTATCTGTAATTGATGTTTTGAATTCACTTCCAATTGAGCTCTAAGACTTAAAGTATTTAAGGTATTTAGCTACCATTAAAATTTATAGATAGAAACAAGCGCCAAAACCATTTTTTGAATTTTCTAGAGACATGTTATTCATTAACATGACCATTTTGAGTTTAACAGTGCCAATTTGAGTTGGACTGTTGATACATGTAAACTTATCGCAAGTCGATAACTCGTGGATTATGTTTGTTGTTGAATTATTGTCGAAGAATAAGCGTCGGAGTCGGGTGCATTGTAGCTTGAAGGAAAATAATATGTGATTTATATGTGAAGTGTATATGAATCGAATAATTTTAAGACGTTTTTATAACATTACTTATTATAATAGTCAATTTTAAAGACAACGAGATATACTTGTGATACGCAATCTGTCAATTCATCTGATTAAAAAGTGCACTCTCGCCGGTCGACGCAATAATTTATGTACATATGTACATACATCCATACATATATACTTACTCGAAATTCAAATGTGTATGCATGTGCAGTATATCAAAAACATATGTACGCATGTGTATAAAGCATAAGTGGTTATCATTTAAGTGAAAAGCAAAAACTTTTTAAAAACCAAAATACTGAACATCCATTGCAACATTCATTGGCTATGTCTACAATAATAAGTTTATCACAGCCAGCATCGCCCAAAGAATTCCATGTATGCATTATGTGCGTGAAGCAGAAAGAAAAACCCGAAGTATCTGACGAAGGTGATTGCAGCTCTGCTAATAGTAGTTCGCGTGCATCGACTAAACAATTAGATAGTAGTGTGTCCATTGCAAATTGGGCCAATGGATCAGTGCAATTAAACCAAAAAAACGAAATGCAATCAAACGAATGCCAACTGGCAGCAATTCCCGCGTACTGCCAGCCAATTGAGAACAGCGTTTCAATGAATAACGCAACAAATATGTGTTCGAATCATGTAACGCTGTCAGTAACTGCACCTGCAGCAGTCTCGGCGCAATCAGACCAGATGTAAGTTAACAGATGCATTATTTCCTCCTTCCCTTGTTTACATATTTACGACAGCTGTACACTGTGCAATGCATTGCACATGTCATATGGTGTGTATTCACTTGTGCTCATATGATACGCCTATAAATATATTGTTAAAAAGTTTGCAGAGATATACTTAATACATATAAACCATATATTCAAAAACCACATGTTTAAAAACATTTTTAAATAATTGTCGTTAAACTTCTAGAGAAAGTGCTGTGGTGCAGTAAGTTAACATGACCATTTTGAGCTTAGCAGATTCATTTTAAGTTTAGCATTTCCATTGTGAGTAAATTTAAAGGGTCGGATTCAATTGTATTTTTTTAATCAACGAAAAAGCAGCGAAACGGATGCAATTTATTGGGAATTGTAAAAATTGTAAAAATATAGAAAATTCGTATATGGTGAAAAACTATGTGAAAAATTAAACATATTATATATTTTGCAATAGATGTTTAATTTATTAAGGTGCAATCGTGCCGGTTGACGCTAAAATTTTACGCGCAATCTTTTACATACATATATGCATGTATGTATGCGTTCGGGGCATTTTGCCAAAAATATATAAATAAATTAACGCCGAATTCAAACAAAAATCAATAAGAAAGAGTAAAAAAAAAAAAACAAAAACAAATTTTAAAATTCTTTGCACTGTCTACGTGTACACCAAAAGAAAGCACGAATATTAAAAAAAAATCAATGTCTATGTCATAGGCGATATCAGTTGTGCTAAAAGCAGCTATAGTGCTGAAAACATTAATTTTGATAATATGTCCATTAAAAATTCTGATAACGTGCACATGCATTGGAATCAACCCACAGATGACGCTGCAACAACACTCAGAGTAGCGCCATCTGCGCAGACGTAAGTCAAATGAGTTAGCTTTTAAAATTTATGAAAAATGGTTAAATAATCATATTTAATGTATTCTGAAAGACCTCAATTTTAATTTTAATAAATCTTACCCTTTAGGTTATATACAAAGGAAATTATATATTCTAAGAAGATATTCACTGCACAATGATAATAAATTATTAGGTACATCATAAACATTTCGTCTACAACTATGGCAAAAGTTTTTTAACTGCCCCAGTCACGACCAAATTTAGTTTAAGTTTTAACTATCTAATTTATTATTTACTTAATTTCTTTGCACCGTAATCACTTTTGGTTTATTTGTAAGCTAACATAACTAGTTGTTTGGCCAAAGAAAAAAAGCTTTTCCTTTTAGGTAACTTACGCAAAAGCGTTAGCTGTACAAGGCCTTTTCTGCAGATTGACATTCCTTTACAAAACATTTCACAATTTTAACACTTTCAACCCTCATAGTCTTCAATGAAAAGGAAAATGAAGATTGTCTATGACTCAGTTAAGAGCCATAAAACCGAATTCCATAGTTATCATCTAACACTTTTAATTGCGTTTGCTAGAAAGGTGATAAAGCCAAGCAACACATTTGAGCATTTCATGATGTGCCTAAAGGCATTTTCATTGTGTATGAGCTATAATTTCATGATATATGGTTTCTTTATATATATACTTGGAAAAATTGATGTCATTCAATTAATGGCCATAAAGATAAATTAAACATTAACCAAAAATCAACACTTCTATAAATATATATAGAACATAAATATAATAAATATTATGGGTGAAATTGATAACGAATCTGATATCGTCACTGTCCATCTAGAAAACACCGTCTATAAATATGAAATAGTTGTATTAGTATTTCCCTCTGACGTATACTGATGGCTATCAATAGCAATTCATGTTGTAATCGCTGTTTGCCTCGATTTAATCAGATTAGAACAAATAGGGCATTTAGCAACTATATACAGAGATATTTTATATTGAATTTAATTTAAGGGAACTCAGCTATACATCCGTTTCATATATAGCTCAAGATGTTTTCTGAGTACTCAAGTGGACGTGTATCCAAGCCGGAAGCTGGGTTGCTTGAAAGGATAACTCATCGTTGCTTTCCTAGTTTTCCTAGTTAGGTACTTCAACGTAGACCCATATTTCATGTCTCTTTTGAGCATGTAATTCGACTACCTCATGGTCATAACAACTGCTAAGTTCAATGACTTTATTAGTTGTTCATCTTTTGTTTTTCCTAGGAAAACAGTAAGATTTTTCTGCAGCTGACAGGAACGAATTAATAAAAGAAATAAGCCATGGGCTACTATCTAACTAATTTCTTTTTTTATGTGATTTATGAGAAAACACAAAAATAGAAATAATAGATGGGCTATTCTTTTCCTTCCAAGGACTTGCCTAAGACCTTGCCTGTTATTAGAGCTGCAATTGCAATTAAACAAATTATAAAAAATTACATTTTCCTAATTAAATGATGGTGCTTTCTTTCTAAAATGCTGCGTTTGGTCGACAGAGCTGCAGAGCTCATTAATCTAAATATTTACTTAACTGATGCAGTCTGTCTTTCCAATGAATCAGTTGCTGTAGTCGTAGCACGTGTTACACAGTCCGCCCAGAATGGTGTCTATAAATGGAACTTCTACTTTTCGTATTATATATTCTTTCTACACACACACACACATACATTCGTAAGGTAGCTGAAGAGTGGATGGAGAGTGAATACTATATACACTCTGTAGCTACAACACCACCACAAACTGGTTGTGTGTGGCATTTCAGCACTGGCAGATGTTTCGTTACTTTAAATTCGTATGCAGTTTCCTCTTTTGATCCTTTTTGAGCACATTTTCGATACTTTTGAGTGAGTTTTGCAGCTGCTTTATTTTTTTCTTAGGTAAGCCCTAAAGCAAAGTCGCAACAGCTGTTTCTTTAGATGTCTCCGCCTGACAAGTGTTATGACTAGATAGATTGTAGTGGAAAGATATAGATATATGGCTTCAGATAGAAATTAAAAGAGCATAATTTTGTAAGCATATCAAATACATTCTATGTTGTCCTAGTCTCTCAGTTGAATCTCGTATATAATGGAAATCAAAGCATTTAAACTAAGTTGATGGGCAGCCCTCTTTAATGCAGAACGACAGTTGCTTCCGAGGGTTGTTTTTGAGCCGAAGATCAACAATCTGAAAATCTCACTCAATTGCCATCCCTCGATATTTGGAAATTGAGCGAAACAAGTAGAACTACAGGAGGGTTGTTTTCTGGCTCGTTTAGCGTCGAGCCTTGAGTACCCTGTTGATCAGTCTACCTTAGTCAACATCGTACGCACAACTCGCATTTCGCTCCGAAGTATATAAAACAAAAAATGTGAAGCCTGTTCATAAACCTTAACTTATTTGAACACTTAAATTGTAAATAATTATAAATAAATATACATATAAGCCCATCAATATATATTTTGGCATATAAGAACCAGTTTTATCCCCTTCTAAAAATGAAAAACTTGCGAAATACTTACAAAGCGGATATGAAAATGAAAAACTCAGAATCAATGACTCTTTCAATGCAAAATGCATTCGGCAATCGATTAAAGTCGAGTGGAAAGTGCAAACGAATTAATACGCGTGTTTTGCAAAGGTGAGACGAAGTGTGAAGAATTTTAAATGATATGAAGTTATTTATTTTATGAAGATATGGATGAAATAAATACATGGATGAAGATATATCTGTAGCGTATCAGATCGGCAGAAATCAGTTGTACTTGTGAATACGCATGCCGAATACCTACTCATCTACATACATATATATTTACGTGTATATGATGTACGGTATTTTAAAACGTGCCATTTGAATAACTAAAATACATTTGGTACGGTTGGTACCTGCATTTCAGAACGCAACTGAAGCGGAGCGAGGGAATTTCTTTCTTCAGAGTGCCGCGACACCATTTCCTGTGTTTTACAAAGAATAGAATTTCACTCATCTACTTTTGTTCGTTTGTTTATACTTTCCTTTGGTTTCCTGCTATAGTTGTAGCTATTTTCGTTTGCAAAGGAAGCTGAAGTTATTTGCGAATGCATATCCTATATCCTATATGATATAATATATATCCTACTGCTTCTTTCCTATAACCTATATAGTATATCCTATATCCTACATCCGACATATCGTATTTTACCGTGCATCTTTTGAGCTGTTTGTTTAGCACGACATCCGATATTGCTTAGAACCAGACATTTTCTTACGCATTTTCTGGTATTTACTCTAAACGGAGCTCTTTACGCCTAAACTGTTTATACATTGCAATTATTTTCGGGCTACCCATTCAACCAAAACACACTTTTACCTGAGTATGTAACACTTTCCTTGATGTCGCATTTCTAGCACATTCCAATCGAAAAACATTCCTCATTTTTCACTAGCCAATGATTTACAGGCTGTGTAAAAGTTTAGGGCAATTCCGGTCTGGGCAACCCTATACAATCATAAATCACGTAACTTCAGGTAGCCCATTCAATTAAGTTTGCTGGTAGCGAACTATTGCGCAAACCACATTAATTGTTCCAAGAAATTTGACAATATTTTATTATTATATGTTTTTTCTTATTTGTTATACAGATTGCCTAGACATGGAAAGGAGAATGTTAGCATAATTGGTATAAGATGCAATGGATTTAACGAGTGCTTGGTAAGTATTTTAAATGTAAGGATTTTATGAAATATCAGAATGCAGAAGATGCAGATATGGATCTATACATAGATATATTGATGTAGACGATATAGATACATATAGACAGATACATAGGTACAGATACATAGATACAGATACATAGATACAGATACAAATAAATTCAGATGCTTAGATGCAGATACATGGATACATACAGATACATAGATGAAGACACAAAGATATAGATAAATAGATACAGATACATAGATACAGATACAATGATACAGATACATAGATACAGATACATAGATACAGATACAGATACTTAGATGCAGATGCATAGATACTGATACATAGATACAGATACATAGATATAGATACAAAGATACAGATACTTAGATGCAGATACAAAGATACAAATACAAAGATTCAGATACATAGATACAGATGCTTAGATGCAGATACATAGATACAGATACAGATTCAAATATTCAGATACATAGATACAGATACTTATATGCAGATACATATTTAGAGATACAAATACATAGATACAGATACATATATTCAGATACATAGACTCAGATACAGATAGATACAAATACATAGATGCAGATACATAGATACAGATACCTAGATACAGATAAATAGATACATTTGCAGATAGAGATACAGCTCAAATTTATGGGAATTAACCAAGTTAATTGTTAGCTCAAACACACGTTGATTAATTAACTAAAGATCGATGACAAATATGAATACAAAATTGATTTCAAAATTAACTTGAATATGTCATTTCGATTTGAATGCCATCATAATTATTGGGCCCTTTTGATAGACTCAAGGGCAAACAGTAATCAAGTTAAACAAAACCTACGGATGCAAACAATGTCTTTGCATAAGGTGACGACCCAGAGCCAAAGCCAAAGCCCAATCCAAAGCCAAAGGCAGACAGTCGAGAGTCAGGGAACGTAATGTGAATACAATTGACAATGGCAGCATTGTAAGTGTTGTGTTGGCTCGTGCTCCATCAATGCAATTCCTTTGCTAATCTAATAAAAGGCACTTGACTTCTGACTAAAGCAGCAGATACTCGAACCCTTAACACTGAATGCCCATTGCGGACAATACCCAATAACGCAACATAATAAAAACACTCTGAGCTCCAGCCAGTCAGCCCCACTTTCCTGGCCAATGCTTATCAAACAGAAGGGCACACACACACGCACACAGATTGACGCACACTCACTTACACTCATTTGTATTTAACGTCGAAATCGACATCGGCATCGACTTGTGGTCGCTGCCGCAGCGTCGCATTTGCAATTGTCGCACTCAGTTATTATTTATCACGTCCACCGTTGACACCAGCCAGCGGGCGGCGATTTTGTTTTGCGCCTAGTGCTGTGCCTTGTCACACTCAAAAACAAAAAAAAGCATAAATATGAAGAAACTGATAATACCAACACTCATGGATACCTATGGCCTGATTAAGTTTTGGAACTTTGATGACGGCATGCCGGATGGCCCCAAGCAGTCCGGCAGCAGCAAGAGGCGCACATACTTTAGCCACTTGCCAAGCGATCAAATGCCCAGCGAGCGACGCTGCAAGTGGCGAATCTGCTTGCTTCAGGTAACTCCTAATCATCCGCCTGGCGCCCTGCTAATTGTGAATCAGATTGTAATCAGCTGAGGTGTTGTCAGCTCGTTTGGCGTTTCCACATTTTTATGGTCCCATTTTCACAGTTATTTAACCGTTTTGTTATTGATAAGCTGTTGTTGTGGTATGGACTTTATGCGCATAACATGCTTGATTTATCAATTTGATTGTGAAATGTACAGAAATACACGAAAAAGTAAACAAAATCTCGATAAGAAATCAATGCCTGCATAGAAGTCAAACAAAAGATTGAGTTCAAACTGTATCCATTCTGCAGCTGAGAAACTCTGAATGGAAGTCAGTGAGACTTTTTTTTACTCTAAATAAAAATTGAAATTACTTTGCTGCTATATGCATTTACACCTGGGTAATAGTTAGCTATCAATTGTTGTTTATAATTAATATAAGTTGTGGTTTCACCGACAGCGCAGCCCACGGCTTTGTCAGCTGCGCTGCCTACGTAAGCTAGAGCTAAGTCGGTAGCCACAAACGAATATTGAGCCTAAAACAGTTTTAACCACAAATATTTTGCTCTTTTGTTGCAGTCACAACAGATGCGCGCCATCTCCAGCCCAACGTTAACCAGTTCAGCCGATGCTCAGTCCAAGCAGCCTACGGAAGTGTCCCAAGTGACTGTGGATACTGCAAGTGAAGTCCATAATGATGGCGGCAACGGTTTGGGCGTCCTACAAAAATTCAAGCGCACATTTAACTATTTGAACAACAAAAATCAATTGCAAATCACGCCAATGCCAACGACAACAACGGCAACAGTCAGTGCCATGGACAGCAAGTTACCATTAGAAACTGGAACAGCAACGGCGTCAGCTGCGAAAGTTCCCACAGCAAACGCTGCGGCTGTCGATGCCAGCTCCGCTAAATATCGTTTTGGGCCGTTGATTTGGCGCTCCTCAAAGGAGCGACGTAAAACGAAGTTTAATCGCCGTGACAAGTGCAACTCGGGTGATTCTGGCATTCAAATTGAGCTCGAACAGGATGAGCACTATATGCGCACGCTGGCAAGTGGCCAGCGGCAAGGAGCAGCTGCTGTGCCAACCAACATGCCAAATACCATAGAGCCAAAGTCGCGTTCCATACGCCGCTGTCATTCGGCCAAGGCGACGAGCATACTGGAAAAGGATGCTGTAAAGACACCAGCCTTGGATCAACTAAATCTGGACAGCAATTGCAACCGAGAACGCGAAGCACCCGAATCGTTGCCTACGCGTTCGCTAAGTCAGCCCAATGGCTTGGATACGTATGGAAAGTGCCGCACCGACAATGAGGATAGCGATAGTGACAGCATCGCCTCCCATGAGGATTGTAAGTTTTGTGAAAAGATTTTATATAGATGTTAATATTTGAAAGAGAGAAAATTTTTTCCTCAATTAAATTTAATTGTACTTAAGTACTAACTCATATGAAACTCTCATTCCATAGCAAACAACTATTCTCCCGTCTATGCGGAAGTGCTGTATAATTTCACGGCGGCTGGTCCGCAGGAGTTGGGTCTCGAGCGTGGCACTTTGATAGAGATATTGCGCAAGGAGGTGGGACCCTGGTGGTTTGGCCGCATTAAGAAGGAGGATGCTAGTCTCGTCGAGGAAATACTCGATCCGGAACTGGGCTGGTTTCCAAAGGATTTCGTGCGCGTCATTCACAGCTGCGAGGCGGATGCTTATTTCAATGCCGATAAGACCATGTTGGGGGAGGCAGCAGTTGCGGCAACCGCTGAAGATTTTCAAGTTCCAGTGCCCGTTTGTGAATTGAGCCCAGCCAATGAGGATCCCAATGCCACAATGATTGCGGATCAAAGTAATATTACCACTATAGTCATTGAAACGCCACCAACATCCATCCAACGGATGCCATCAATTCACATTAATGTACTGCCGGATAGTTACGATGCAATACGGAATGGTGCTATACGTGAACTTTTAGAAACCGAAGTCAATTACGTAAAGCTGCTGGCTTCAATTTGCGACGGGTAAGCATTGACTTTGTGCTCAATGATAAATGATCTCTAATTGATTTTGTAATTATTTCTATAGGTATCTGCCTGCCATGAGCAAGCGCATCGATATATTTTCGCCGAACAGCATTCGTCTCATATTCTCGAACATCACAGCCATTTACAAGTTTCAGCGAAAGTTCTTGGAAGCCTTGCGACTTGGCATCGAACAAAATCAAATATCGAAGGTCTTTCTTAAGATGGTAAGCTGGTTAAGGATGTTAGATATAGTTATAAGTATGTTGAATGTAGATCTATATAATTCATAATTGATTGGATTGTTTTTTGATCATGTAATTCATTTGTAACTTGATTTGCCTATCTCTAATTGTATTTTTTTATGTATTTTAGCACAAAGGATTTCTCTGTTACTCCACCTACTGCAATGCTTATCCACGTGCACTTATTGAACTCGAATCCTATGAACGTATCAAAGATGCACGCACTATTTTGGAGAAGTAAGTTAATCCATTTCACTTAATTATGCCTTTTACTAACTTTTAATTCTTTCCACAAAGTTGTCGGGAATCCGAGCATCTGGCCGAGCTACCCCTGTCGGCGCATCTGCTGGCGCCAGTGCAACGCATCTGTCGCTATCCACTGCACCTCAATGAAATTATTAAGACTGCCCTAAACAGCAACACTACCGAAGAAGTTGCTGGCCAAACAGATAATTTAGATTACGATCAATTAGATGTATCACAGTGTGATATTCCCGATACGCATGCCACCCTTAATGGGGCTTTAGAAAAGATGCGGGGCATTACGGAGGCTGTTAATGAAGGTAAACGGCACAGCGAGACCATTGCGCGGCATCAGTCGAGTTTTCAGAACTTCAAGGGCCCACCGCTTCACTTACACAGCACACGATTCTTCCTGCAAGTCGATGCAACGCGCCAGAAGCAGAATCTCTGGAATAGCAGCTGCACACTCTTTTTGTTCGATAACCAGCTGATCTACTGCAAGCGAGATATTATCAAGCGCAGCCAGTTCATCTACAAGGGACGAATCTTTTTGGATCGCTGCCGCATCGTGAACGTGCGGGACGGAAAAATGTTTGGCCATACGATCAAGAACTCACTTAGAATCTACTGCGAGTCACGAGACAAGTGGTACGACTTTAGTTTTCGCTCGGCCAACCGGAAGCACCGCTTTCTCAATACGCTCGCCCTGGAGCGACAGTTTGGTGGCAAAGCACTGTATGTGTCCGAAATGACGGGCTTTGAGTTCAACTATGAGGAACGGCCCGGCTATTACTCAGATCAATCGGACTACGAGCTACCAGAGTGTGAGCACGCTCAGGGCACCGCATCAGCCAGTGGCGACAGTTCCGTACCCGAATCACCAGCTAAGTCACCGTATCGCTCTTGCGACACGTTACCCAAAAAATCACAGTCACGCGACGCCATTGCCAGCACCAGCAACAGCTCGGGACAGCAGCTGTCGACAACGTCGACTGGATCCCTGGGCCGTCGCCGGCTGGGCAACTGGTTTCGCAAACCAAAGAGTTCCAATTGTACACCGAGTCAGTCACCAACCCACAAGCCAGGCTTCGACGCGGACTTAACGTTGACAGCCGCACGTGTTGCAGCTATCGAGTTGGTTAAGGCCGCCGCCGAGCAAGAAGAGGCAGACAGTTCGTTTGCTTAGTTATCCTATTTAATACATAATTAATTATAATTTACAATACATGCATATGGATATATGCAAATACGTAGGCATCACAGTGCATTGCATTAAAATACAACTTATATGAACTGTTTGTAGTAACGATATTTTAATAATGCCACACAAAAGCGTATAATTAAGTTATTTTAAATTCGTTAATGTTGTTTTCCTTTTATTTTTTTTTTTTCTGTTTCTACATTTTCATATTCTTGTCCCGAATTCATTTTCAAAATCGTCCGACTGTTATCTGTAAATAAAAAGTTCTGTTTTTAAAATATTTTATGATTATTTTTTCAAATACCACGTATTTTCCTTTTAGTTGAGTTAATGTCTATCCCCTCATATAGCATGTGTTGGCAAACTAAGAACTAACACAAGATACTGAAAAAATATTATAACCATTTGTATATTATCAAAATATTAAATATGCGTTAATTAGCAACCGGTTATAATGATATCTAGCAATATTGAGTTAAACAATATAGAGACAAACTATTGAACAAGTATATTTAATCAAATTACTACTTGTAATTTTTATTCAAAAACAAAAAGAAACGAAAAACGAAAAAAACTGTTAAACAATTCTGCATAACAAGGAAATTTTCAAAACATGAGCGAATTTAATTTTTCTTAAGAAAATCTCGTATATACCAAAATAAGTTGAAATATATTATTATTAAGATAATATTGAGTTAAAATGTTCTAAAAGCAATTTACTATTTAATAGATTTTGTAAAAACAAATATGATTCTTGCAAATGTTATCTCTGGACCACCCTATCAAGTATATTTGGCTGCCAGATTAATCAGCGATGTGTTTGAATTCCGGCCTTGATATCATTTAAATAATCTATGCTTTTATATGTATGTAAACATCAGGTACGGAATTCACAAGTTAAATATAAAAATAAAATATATGAAATATTATAAATTGAGTTTTTCATAGAAGATTATTAATTTTGAGAGAGTGTCCCTAGCAGACAACACTTAGATATTGTTTTTTTACTTCGTTTACTGAGCACATAAACAAAACAAATTTTTATCTGTTGGGTTCCAAAGTACATAGCCAAAACCCGACATTCATTTATATAAAACTTAATATTTGATCGATTGCTCGTCTAGCAGATATACGCTAAAATATATTGATAAGATTTTCTTTATATTTAGGGCCATTCCGAACCTCGTAGTAGTTTGGTAACGGACATAGATAACAATGGTTGTGATAGAACATAAAAGTTAATGGAGCTTTGCCTATGCAATATTTATTCACTAAATATTATCGTACGACATTACTAAACGTAGAGCATGGTGAAGCTTGAGCTATTTTACAAAAGTTGGCGCCTATTCATAAAAGGAATAAATATACAGCGTTGCAAGATAATCGACCAGCAATCGATTAAAATACCAACAGGGCAATATAAATACCAAACAGTAGAAACATTACCAGCGCAGACTTAAGCCACTGTTAGGGCACCTATTAATGAACTTCATTAACCAATTACACCGCTGTTGTAATAACATAGCTGCTGTTAAATTTAAATTTGAATGCAGTATTCTGGTTATTTTACAGGTCCTGTTAAGCGGCACAAATCAGAGTAATACAACATTACGCTGTAAACGCTGTTAAACAATTCACAGCTTATTGTGATATTTATATGATTGCAAATTAAAATCGTTAATATCCGTAAAGTATAAACTATATTTAGTTGATTTTTTTAAATTTTATCGTATATACTTTTTAGGCGCAGTTGTTGAAGTGCCCAAAAGTATGCCGTGAAATATGTGATTTCATATCTTGCAGAAATTTACCTAAATAATTATAATATTTTACTATTTCATTCGGCTGTGTTCTTGTTTACTCTTTCAATTTTCTAGTTTGTGTACCTACTAACTTACAGAATTCATGTTAATCGTTTTTCAATTGAAGCAAATCAAGCATACGTCCCATAAAACGCATGTTTTACAAATGGCAAAAAAATGTAAGTGGCTATAGATCTTCTGCGGAGGGGAAAAACAAACTGCAACAGGAGACAGTATGTGCGTTACTTAACGACTCGACTAATTATCAAATTAAATAACTTGTAATAGCCATTCATAATTGTAACCGGTCGGCGAGTGAGAGACAGAGGCAGAAACTGAGAGAGGCTGAGGTCCGACTAGTTCTTCGGGCAAACGGATTATCCGCAAATAATATGTTAGCCGTTACTCAACGCTTGATGGCCAATGGATTACCAAAGCGACGGCATCTTCTGGTTAACTGGCTCAAGGCCGAACTTGGCTCGGCTCGCCTCGGCTTTGGAACTGGTCCCAACTATTCCTAATTAAGACTCGGTTCTAAGTCGGCGCACTGCCATTGCATAAAGTAGTAAATTGAATCTGTTGCCGAGTGCTTTTAAATGGGATTCAAAGTGATTGACTTACGAGCTGCAGCACTTGCAACATCAACAGAGCCAAACACCTCTATGAAAATAACTAAAAAGATACGAGTGCACAAAAAGTAAACTATGTTCGCACTCTGGTGCGGCTCGGTGTCTCTTGTGCGCTGCGGTGGCCTCTTGCACAATGGCCAGCTCATTTGAGCGCATTAAATTTGAATTAAAATTTTTGAAATTTCGCCCGGCAACGAAAGTGACAATTAAAATCTTTTTAGCTCATGGCGTCTGTGCATTTCCTTAAGAGAGCGCGCCCAGATACTTCAATGAAAATGCCCCCAGGCCGTGCCGGGCCGGGCAGACTCGAGCCGAGCCGGGCCATGTCAGCGCCGCCAAAAAACCTCAATTATAGCAACGCCGGCAGCCTAGTTGACTATATACCTATATTAACTGCTTTGTGCTCGCATATAGCACTCGTAGTCGTACGAGTACGACTCGTATATGGTGCCGGCACAGGTTGCCAAAGTGGACAATTTAATGTGGCTGTCATGTTAAATGCCAGCCCAATAATTTAAGCCTCATTTTTTCTCTTAGCCAGCCTGTGAAATGTTTGATGGGTGGTATGTGGCTAGTTGAGCGATCAGACCAGACCGGAGTTCGGACTGAAAGAAAATTGTAGAAATGCAATAGGTATTGTGACTTATGCGCCTTTCACCACGCCCTAGGGAATGCCCTTAATGTAATTTTTATACTCATTCACGGAAGTGAAATGAGTATATGGGTTTTGTGCAATATCCGTCCGTCCATCTGTCCATCCGTCCATCGATATAGAAGTAAGCACTTGAATTTCGGAGCATATTCTCGTGTATACGGTGCAAACAGTGTAATAGTGTACTACTGTTGATTCACTGTTGTTTAACATAGTCAACCCTGTTAAGTAACAGTGCGTTTCAATACACTGTTAACTAAAATTTAATTTAACTTTTTTGGACCTCCCTATTTTTTTAAAGTAAACTTTTTAAATTCTTTTAATATATCACTCATCCGTGTTTGGTTTTAATTCATATTGAAATATTATTTAGCAATTGCCAGTGATTTTTCATTAACATTTAAAATTTTTAACGCTTTAATACGCTTTGCAGATATCATTTACCCAATGCCTACTCTACAGCATCATCACCTTCATCATTTTGCCTTATAAATGTACATAATAGCCAAACAATGCATTAGCTCAGCATATCGAATCGACTTTTATTGTGCTCCACTTAGGGCAATTTGTAATAATTACGAGCACTTCCTTTATCATCAAACAAAAATTAGCCACCTATTCAACACAAAGCGAACATTAAACGTGCCAAACTTCTCAATTTTGGCAGAGATAAAATGAAATAAAAAGACAGATCATAAAATAACGAAAAACCACAACGGAAAGCAAACTCTCTTGAACTCGATTTGTGGTTTGTAGCAAAATGTAAACAAAATGAACTTTTAATGATTTTTTGTTTCTGTTACGTTTTGTATTTAATGGCAATGGTTAATATTATTAAATAAGTGACGAAGCTGTTGTATGAATGTCTCTATTCGCATTCACTGTTGTTGATTCGATTGCGAGATGCTGCATCGATTCACTTCGATTCGATTCTTATGCTGAGATACATGGAAGCTTCAGATACTTTCAAGCACACGAGAGGAGATTGTCGCCGCACGTTTTGCATATTACGAAATGAGTTATAAATGTGTGTGTTTGTGTGTGTGTGTGTGTGTTGGTGCATTAGAATGCCATTGACTCAACTCGACAACAATTGAGCTTCCCATATGATGCGTCACTTTTACAATCAGCCATGAAAAATCTGCACAAGGCGATTTTCCATTGGCTTAACTCTTGCTTGCAATAGATTTTCATTTTCCAAACAAAATTTTGCAAGCTTCGCTATAGTAGTTGCTGTTGTTGTTGCTGTTGTAGTTGTTGCAGTTTTGTTGCCAGCTTTTTATGGTGTTCAAACTAATTTGCAGTTACAAGCCCCCGTTGGCCCGTTTCTTTTCACAAACTGCGGCATCATGCCCTTTTGTTGCCTTTTATGCTGCACTCACAATAAGGTGGGTGCTCATGGCATAGACGTCGAACAGGGTGCATGACGTGTGTATGAGTGTATGTGTGCACATATGCATGCAGAGTGCACCAATTGCAATTATTGTGGAACAGAGGTAAGGCAGGCGTGCAGGTGGGCTGTGAGGTGGGGGCGGCCAGATTGCTAAATCGAATTATTGCTGATCTGATTCGCCAACTAGACAACAACGCTGGGCATTAGCCTTCGTTAAGTATAATGAAAAGTCATAGTAATATTTATATAATTATGTGTGTATTATGCCAAAGTAGAATGGGGACACGTTTTGGTACAACTTTCAAGGCATCTGTGTTGAAGTTTTTTATGCTAAACTTGAATTGGGACATATTTTGGGACAACTTTCAAGGCACCTGTGTTGAAGTTTTTAATGCTAAACTTGAATTAAGACAAATTTTGGGACAATGCTCGAGAGATCTTCAGAGAAAAGATAGTTTTTGATGTTAAATGGGAATCGGGACAAATTTCAAGACATCATTAAACAAACTTGAGGTACACATGCCATAAAGTGTTTGCCATGGATAAGAGGGTCTACACTGCTCTACGAAAAACCCAAACACACACACTCATAAAACTTTATGAAGTGTAAAAGAAAAACTATTATGTATTCGCCTTTCGTTTTCTAACAGTTCACAAATTATGAAAAATTAAAGGAAAACTATTACAAATCTTAACTGTAAATTTCAATTTGCATAAGGCAAAGTTCAATACCATAAATCGAACAGGCACAGGCGGAGGCACTGGCTCAGGCACAGCCTACGACTCATATTCGAATG